AGGGCCCTGACCTTCCTCGTGCCTACTCGACCGAGGTTAGGCTTGGCACTTACTGGGTACCGCTGTGGTGTACTCATGCCTTTTCCTGCACATGTTTTTCGTGTGCAGATCCAGGTACTTCGACTCAGCCCTACTACCCTTGAGGCAAGGCGATTCTCCAGAGACTTCGAGGTATATCTGCCGCGTCCGCAGACCGAGGAGTCCCTTTCCTTTCTCTCTTGTAGTGATAGCCCTTCTATCTTTTCTTTTGATTTAGACATTCCGGAGTTAGAGCATTTTGTCGTATTCATAGTTTGTGATTCATGGGATTCCGGGTTTTGGGAGTTGTTCGGTTTTGAGATCTTGTATTGTATATGCCGAGCGGCATCTTAACACTTTTATATTTCGTATCTTCGATTTTTATTAGTTTTTCCGCATTTGTTTCTTTTTTCGAAATTGTTAGGCTTACCTAGTCGTAGGGACTAGGTTCCGTCACGACATGTTTATGGAGGGCGAACTTGGGTCGTGACACTACCGCAGTGGGCTTGAATCTCCTTAAAGAGAGCGAGATATCCGCGCCTCAGCCTGAAGAATATTTATTTATTTTTCTACATCTTATTTTTCAACTGTAATTACTTGTAATTCACCAACAATTTTAAGGAGATTCAATTTTTTTATACAGTTGAGAAAATAGCAGATATCAAGATAGAAGTTCACTCTCTTTATGAGATTGAAAGGTAAAAAAATTTATATGGTTAACTCAAGCGGAGCAAAGGTAAAAATAATAATTTACCTTATATTTTTATGAGTATGTGATTATATTATTTGCTTCTATGTTGATGATTTGCTAATATTTGGCTCTAACATGAATGTGATTGGAGAAACTAAGAGCATGTTGAGTAGCCATTTTGACATGAAAGATTTGGGTGAGGCAAATTTCATTCTTGGAATGAAAATTACTAGAACATGTGATGGAATTTTCCTTGACCAGTCACATTATGTTGAAATTTTTTTTGAAAAAATATAATTTAGTAATTGCAAGCATGTTTAACTCCTTTTGATTCAAGTTTTCACTTATTTCCTGTATAAAGTGACAATGATGTGATAAATCAAAAGGAATATGCTAGCTTAATTGGAAGCTTGAGAATATGTGACTGATTGCAGTAGGAGTACTAAGTCGTAGGAGTACTCAGCAGGTTACAAGCAAGCCAGGTAATGAACATTAGCACATGCCATAACAAGAGTTATGAGGTATTTATTTGGAACAAAAACATATGGCTTTTCTTATAAAAAATATCCTTCTGTACTTGAAGGCTTTTCTGATGTAGATTGGAACATTTTATCTTTGAGAAGTGGTGCTATTTGTTGAAAAATAAAAATAAAAAATGCTAACTCTACCATGGAGGCTGAACTAATTGCTTTAGCTTGGGCTAGTGAGGAAGCGGATTGGTTGAGAGATTTATTACTTCAAGTTCCTTATTTTGAAAGACCAATTCTTCCTATTTTAATTCATTGTGCACCACTGCTATTGATAGGGTGCAAAACCGTTATTACAACGGTAAATCCGGACCTATAAAGAGAAAACACAATGTTGTGTGATATTTAAAAAATGGTAAAATTGATGTTGATTATGTGATAATTTTGCAGATCCATTAACCAAGGCCTTGGCAAGAGAATGGTCTGGAGTACATCGAGGGGGATGAGATTGAAGCCCAAGAACTCATAAGTCATATATGAGGACACCCAACCTGGGGACTAGAGATCTTATAACCAGGTTCAATGGGAAAAACGAATCATATGATGGCTTGGTTTGAAATGCACTATTATATTTGTTATTCTTTCATCCCTATGGTGTGAGTGCATTTATTCTGTAACGTTTTGCGAGGTTGAGTTTTTATTAACTCTTAATGAAAATCTGTAGCTCGTATGAGTGGGGTGTTAGAGTTACAGGAGCACCCTTGACAGATTTCGCCTATGTGAGTGTGGAAGTAGGCCGCTTCCTATAAGAATTAGGCTTGTTCTCAAGAACACTCATGAAAACCGGGATAGCACAAGGCCGTAATGTGCTGGCTAATAAAGCTCATGTCAACACCTTGATTATTATGTGTAAGCAGTGATACTTTATTTCCCTAAAGCAGTCATAGTTCAAGTTCGAGACCACTACTGACTCTGGAGTAGAGATTGTTGTTTTACTAAGTGGATGTTCAATGCAGAGTACACCTTCATTATGCATAATAGTCTCCCTTCAACTGGTAAACTCTCTTATTTTAATATTAAAATGAGTGGGGGAATGTTGGTGTTAGTGCATTTTAATATTAAAATTTTAATATTAAAGTGCATTATTTCTTGTGAGATAGTGGTTATAAATTGGCAAGAAAGCGGTCATTATTTTGGTGTAACTCATGAAACCACTAATGCCATGATCTACCACTAATTACCCACTAAATATTATATTTTGTAACCACCAACCCATGTTCTACTATTTTATTATCCCACTATCTTATTATTTATTTCATGGAAGAAATTCTACACCTATAAATAGTGGTGTTTCTTCCTTGTATTTGGTATGGGAAAAATATGGTAGTGTGTATGAAAAAAGTAAATTTGGTGTAGTGAAAAAGAGAGCTATGAGAAGGAGAAAATCTAAGTCTCCAACTTATTCTCTACAAAAGAGAATATGATTTTTGTTGAAGGAAGGTGTTCATTTTGGTGGAGTTTTGGACTCAACAACTTGTCCAGAGTTTGTTCGAGTCATACGACGTTGTCGGGCTGTTGTATCCTGGAGGGGACAAGTCAAGAGTATTACTGCTGGACCGGTGAAGATGCTACCGCAGTGGGCTTGATCTCCTTAAAGAGAGCGAGATATCCGCGTCTCAGCCTGAAGAATATTTATTAATTTTTCTACATCTTATTTTTCAATTGTAATTACTTGTAATTTCACCAACATAAAATGTATAACTTTTTTTTAGTATATAATTATGTAAATAATAGTACTTATTAGTCGTACTTATTTTGACAACTTAGTAATTTTATATTATGTTCAATTTCATTATGGCTTATTAATAATATTTATTTTATGCGATTTTATTATTTTTATTGTTGAATATTTCCATGATTCATCTTATATTTTATGTTATATTCTTGAATAATACCTTATTTAGTTCTGTCTTGCTAGGATTAAAGATATATTTGGACCATTAAGCTATGCTTTTGGGCTGTGCCAAGGGGATTCAAAGTATAATATATAGAGGTAAAAAGTAGATTTTGCTTTACATATACAATATAATTTTTCGACGAAGGGGGTTCGGGTGAACACACTTCCGCCCCTAAATCTGCCCCTGCCTATGTACCCGTAGTTGAGGAAATGCTATGATCACATTCACCTGCATCCAAGAAAATATGCGAATATCATTTTGCTACACGAATGAATTCAATTGACGTACAAAGTTGCTAACTTGCTTTTGGCATATGAGAGGACAGTTTTTCTTTCACAACGATAAAGAAAGGATATGTTTAATATTTTACAACCATAAGAGAAGAACGTGGTACAAGTTCAAACCTTCAAAATTATGTTTAGTTCTACAAATTTCCTCAAAAAGGGTAAAATAGAAAAAAAAATGTCGGGCTCAACCAACCCGTAGAACTCTTAAATATGCTATGATATTGTCCACTTTGGATTAAATTCGTGTGATTTTTTCCAAAAGGCTTTACACTATTAAGAGATCCTTACGCCTTATATGTAAATTTTCAATCTTTTCAGCTACTAATGTGGGACTTTGTTCGCACACCCAATAATCCCCTCCTCGAACTAAGTTCCACGGGGCTCACTACCACGATCCACGGGTCTTCCCCTCGAACTAAGTTCCACATGGCCCATTACCACGATCTACGGGTTAAGTTTCATGATTCACTATGTGCCACCCACATTCTTAAAAGTATTATGGCAACCGAAGCTCGAAACTCGATTCTTCCTGTATGCACATCTCAAAACTCGTAAAGTTAAGCAAATCGAGCCGCGCACCATCACTTCGCTATCACCATACCGTCGCACCGATCCTGGGCTCTAATAACAGTTGTTGGGCTCAACTAGCCCGTAGAACTCTTAAACATACTATTGTCCGATTTGGACCATGTCGGCGCGGTTTTTCCCAAAAGGCCTCACGCCATTAAGAGATCCATACACCTTATATGTAGGCTCCCAATCTTTTCAGCTATTAATGTGAGACTTTGTTCGCACACCGAATAACTGTTAGGTGTTTGTCCTGATTATCTTGCCATACTTGGTTCTCCTATTTCTTGAAGGAAGGGAAATATATTTACCATAATTATTTTTTCCTTTTAGAAGAAGGAAAATATAATTTTTTTATATTTGGCTAGTCTTTTTTCTTGAAGGAAAAGATTTTGGACTTTTAGAAATTGAGGATCTTTTGTTCTCATTTAGTAACATCCACAATGTAGCCATCACGGGTTTGAGAATCTTGTTTAGGGGAAGAATTTCGGGACAAATTAATGTTAGCTGGCTAGTGTTGTTTGACTCTTTGTGAGATTGTTCTCTCGATATTTTGTACTTTCTTTTATATGGTGGATTGCTCATCTCCGCCTGTGAACGTAGGTCAATTGATCGACCTACGTTAAATGTTTGTGTCACTTTTAGTATATATCTCTTTTGTTATCTGATTTATGGTTATTAAAGATTTACTTTATTAGCTTTCACATAACACCTGATTATTTCGATCCTAACTAAAAATAAATTGCGGAATACGCCTATTGTTAGGTGCTTTTGACAACTCAACACCGCTAATAATAGATATTTTAAATCTTACTTTAGCGGAAAAAGCAGATAATACGATCAATTTAAAGATTTATCCTAAACATTGTAGAATACGAATAAACGTGGCAATAAAATATCCATAATCCACCTCCAAATTACTCATGGGACCCAAAATATAGCCAATTGCTTTTCGGAAAGAAAAGACCCAAAAAATAAGTTTATAAATAATAAAAAATAAAAAAGAATAAGATGCGTCATATTAATTCTTTGTATTTATCATGACAGCTATACTCTACTCCGAGACACAGAACATTTGCTATGGAGGGTAGCAAATGGCTAGCAGCAGTGGCTAGCATATGGATTCAGTGCAGCAGCGGCGCATCATACACCTTCGGTATCTACTCCCCTGTGCTCAAGTCCACCCAAGCTTACGATCAATCCACTCTCGATACCGTCTCTGTCTTCAAAGATATCGGCGCTAACGCCGGAATTCTCTCCGGCCTCCTTTATACAGTTGTCGCCACCAATCCCACCACCAGCCGCGGCCGCTTCTCATTTCTCCACGGTGGTCCATGGATTGTCCATCTGGCTGGGGCTCTCCAGTGCTTTGCCGGTTACTTCTACATGTGGCTTGCCGTCACCGGAATCATACACAGGCCGCCTGTGGCTATGATGTCCCTGTTCATGTTCATCGCTGCTCATGCTCAGACTTTTCTTAATACTGCTAATGTCGTTGCTGCCGTTCAAAACTTCCCTGACCACAGTGGCACTATTGTTGGTATCATGAAGGTATGTTACGAATTACATCATTTTCAATTACTTAGATGAGTGATTTTCTACTTTTGTTAATACTAATGTTCATTTGCGTGGTGGATTTAGAAAATTGTACTCCAATTATTTGATTTTTATCCTGCCCTTTATTCATGTTCAACGCTATTGGACTAATGATTATTGGTAGCGTGCTGTAAATATAGTACTAGCCCTTTAGCTATAGAGTTTTTTCCATGGGTCACGTTTTGGGGATTGATAAGCCGTGAAGCATTGTCTTGTTGGAGTTGCTTCACTTTTGGGTATTGATAAGAATAAAGTTTTTTTCTTTTTTTAGTAACATATGATCTGACAGCAGAAAAATATGAATTTTGTTACGTATCTCTATCTTTCACCCTGATTACCAAACGACAGAAGTCTAAACAGATCGTCTAAACATTTCTCATGGTTTGAAAAATTTAGGCTTTAACTGTGAATACCAAAAAATGAATAGGCTTGTATAACCAAATGATATATAGAACTTAAGAGAGCCCTGATTGATTTCTAGTTCGATGTAGTTGTCATGTGATGATATTTTTAACACATAAATTAGCCTGTTAAAGCTTCAATAATTGTGGAGTTGGTTGTAGGATATTTCATGAGTATCCTTTACTGTTGATAAAGAAGTCTAAGTTGGAAATATCTTAAAGTATTGATTTTGGGTTTAAGATATTAAATATAACTATTTAGATCTAGTACCACAGCAACTGTCAGACTTCTGCAAAAAATGTTTTTTTTAATGCAAAAAATGTGTTACATACATGTCATACACTATTCCCTTAAAATCCTGCTCGAGGCGTGCTAGCAGCTGGCCTTAGTCTACCTAATACTCCATATGTTTTTTAATTTGCCAAGAACAAATATTCTTCTTTGGGACAACTGAACTTAAACTATTCTACCTGTAATGTGACTAAAATAGCTTTTCCTCACTAGCTTTTCTAAGCTTAACAAGGACCCTTCCTAGTTCAAAGGAACATCATATGCCGTAGAAAACGAACAAGAAGAATCCACAAAAATTGAAAAATAATGAATAAAAAGATTAGCCAATATTAATCAGTTTTACTGCTCTTTATTACTCCCTCCGTTTCAATTTAAATTATGTAGTTTGATTGGCATAAAGTTTAAGAAAAAAAAGACTTTTGTAACTTGTATTCTTAAAAGCTTAAGGGACAAAAGCTATATGGAGCCATGATAGTTGTGTGGCTATAAAAGCTTCTCATTATGGGTAAAGTGGGTAAAATGAAAAGTTTAAAGTTACATTGTTTCTAAATACAGAAATGTGTCGTTCTTTTTTAAACGATTGAAACGGCCGGAGTATTTATTTACATACTCCATTTTTTTTTTCTTTTCTTTTACTTGTCTATTAGTAGTTAGACCTGCAAGAGAACCTAGTATTTTCAATTATTGACCAATTATGAGAAAATCGCAATCTATTATACCTATGAGTTTTTACACTATTTTGTCTTCGTGATTAATCAGATATATTTTGTGGAGTCTGAAGAGCAGAATCATATTTCCTTTTACGTTTTTATTAATCGTGATTTTTTAAAAAGAAACAACTCTCGTGTAATTACTGCTAATGCATCTTGTTGTGTGCTAAGCCAGGGTTTTCTTGGCTTGAGTGGAGCAATTCTAATACAGGTGTATCAAACCTTATCCAATGGCAACCCAAGCTCTCTAATATTGATGCTTGCATTACTGCCGACCATAGTTACTCTGATGCTCATGTTTTTGGTGAGAGTCCATCAGACACCTTCAAGAAATGAGGAGAAACATTTACATGGCTTCTTATTACTTTCTTTAGTTATTGCTGCATATCTTCTGTTCTTAAGAATCTTGGAGAATGTCTTAGTCTTCCCACAATGGGCAACGATTATTACATTTTTGGTTCTCCTTGCTCTTCTCTGTTCTCCTGTTAGTGTCACAGTCAAGGCCCAAAGGGTTGATCAAGAGAGGCTGCCGCCATCAATCACATCTTCTACTTCTCTGTTGATAGATGAACCTGAATTGGAGAGTCCTAATAAATTGGCTGTTGGATATCTTAGGGATTATGATGAAGTGCCTACAGAGTCAGTCCAGCGTAAGGCTAGCTCTATCTTGCAGCCTGATGAACAAAAAAATTTGTGGCAAGCCATGTGCACCATAGACTTTTGGTTTCTATTTGTTGCTATGATATGTGGGATGGGATCAGGACTAGCCACAATAAATAACATTAGCCAGATTGGGGAATCACTTGGTTACACAACATTGGCGAGAAGTACATTAGTTTCTTTGTGGAGTATATGGAATTTTCTTGGCCGTCTTGGAGCTGGATATGTATCAGATATATTTCTGCTCAGGAGAGGGTGGCCAAGACCATCATTCATGGTCTTTACTCTAGCAGCAATGACTGTTGGCCATGTAATTATCGCTTCAGGTTTTCCCGGAAATCTGTATGTGGGTTCACTGCTAGTAGGCATTTGCTATGGCTCGCAGTGGTCATTGATGCCTACCATTACTAAAGAGATATTTGGCGTGGTCCATATGGGTACAATTTTCAACACAATTTCCATAGCCAGTCCTGTGGGATCTTATGTATTATCTGTCAGAGTAATCGGCTATATTTATGACAAAGAGGCATCAGGAGAAGGAAATTCGTGCTTTGGCACTCACTGCTTCATGTTATCTTATTTCATATTAGCATCTGTAAGTCTTTTTGGAGTTCTAGTTGCCTTGGCATTGTTTTATAGGACGAGAAGGTTCTATTCTCGTGTGCTGTTATGTTGATCGCAAGTGCAAGACATTGAAAGCATCTTTTTTGTTTCCTATTTGCTCGCATAAATACTGGCCAAGATTTCTGTATTTTTTTGTCAATTCTTGCAGAGTGCACTGGCTATTCTGTCTCCATTAAATTTTCTGTTGCCAGAAATTGGAGTGGAGTGGGAAAAGGGAAAACTGTGGGAAGGTGTTGAGATGGCTAATTATGTAAATGTGACTACATACTTGTAAAGTGGCTAGTTAGATAATTTGTTATTAGATAGGCTATTTTGTTAATTCCTTTTAGTTAGGATATTTTTGTATATATTGTTATTCAGTTGAAAGAAGAGGTCGCTTGGCCCATTGTAGATCCTTCTCTATTCTCTCTCCCCTCTCTCTTCTCCATGCGAGCTCTGCATCTCACTTACCTCCATTGCAGCTCACCTTGAGCTCAAATGAGGTGAACATCTGAATTTTACATGGTATCAGAGCAAGGTCATCCCACTACGATCCTTTATCTCATTCGATTACTCCCCTCAATTCATCGTTACTTCACTTTTGCCCTAATTTTTGCTCGACCTCTGAAATCTGTTCGATTTTCCTAGTTTGAGTGCCTAATCAAAGGGCCAATTCTTCCAACAGTGAAATACTATCATCTCTAGCTTCAATTTCTCATGGCTGTGGACGATTTGAACGAGATTAATACCACAGCAGTAAATGTAGGGGTTCAAGGAAGTTCTGGAACTCAAGGAAATTCTGGAATCGATACTAGTGATCCTTTGTATCTACACCCGTCGGACAACCCTGGTGCGATGCTCGTATCAACTCCTTTCAGCGGAGTTGGATATCGATCATGGAGACGCAGTGTATTGCGAGCACTCTTAGTCAAAAACAAGTTAGGGTTCATAAATGGTGAATGTAAGCGCCCAGATCATCACTCGCCCAAATTCCGTCAGTGGGAGCGATGTGATGATATGGTAACTGTTATACCCCATTTTAACACGGGTCAAACTAGAGTATAACATATTGGTAATTCTAAAGGTTTAATTAATTAAAGAGAGTCGTCACCTAATTGTTTTAACGGTGAATTATGACACCAATTTTAACTAAGTAGTGCTTAAAGTCAACTCTATTTTTAGAGTATGCTTAACCTTAGAAATTCTAGGTAAGAGTCTAATTAATCCTATAGGGAAGGTTATGAAGGCACCCTATATGATCCATTAAAAAGGTTAACCGGCCAAACAGTTGATAAATATACATTTGATGTGTTTTTGAGGAAAACAACATTTAACTTTAAGAAAAAAAAAATGTAAGTGAAGGACAAGGTTTTTAACTAATAGGTAATGAAACGATCACTGTAATCTTGGCGTTAAATGGGACTTTGAGGACTACTTTCTGTTTTCCAAAGCAAACTTGATAGAATCTCTAATATTCATATAAACTTAAAAGATGGCTGCCAAATTTCAATTTAAAGAGTTTTGTTTTGAAAAAAAAGAAAACCGTTGTTCCAATTTTACATTTTTGTCATGACGTGATAAAAGAACAGCTTTTCGCTTTGGATTTCAAAGACGGCATCCCCAACACATTAGGTGCTTATAGCCTTTAAAGTCCTAAATCAAGCAAAATACCTTTAAAAATAGAGCTGTAATTCTACGTGATAAGATTAATCATCAATCATAAAAGCAAACTCAAATAAAAATCAAAATCTCATAAGCTAACAAAGTTACAGATAAAAATGAGTAAAGAAATAAATGAAAAGCCTCCATAGGCGACCCCAACGCAAAGTTTTGCTTGTTTTCTTCTTGTCCATTAGCCTAAGATGCGGTGATGACTCCATACGGTGTCGTCGAGTCTCAACGCAAGACTCTTCTGCTCCGGTGTTTCATGCAAAACAAACAAGAAAGAAGAAGAAAGTAAGTAGA